GGAGTGCCCTTCGACCGTTCCCAAGTAAATTGATATCCATCAAAGGGAAAATCCCTCAAACCGCTAGTTTCGACTGCTTCAGAGAAACCTTGAATAAGCCTGGGAGGTTGAGGATTACCTCCCCTTTTTTCATCCGGGTGAAGAACATCATTGAAATCTTCCATAACCACCCAAGGGAGGGGGTTAATAATGGAGAGCCGTCGCAGTAAACGCCATGAATCATTGCGGTTGTTACGATCCGGAGAGCCATAAAAACCGGTAAACTGCCACGGATTTTCCTTAGAACACAAACGGACCACAGCATCGATATGGTGAGGAGAGTAAGATTGTATGTCGACTTCGGTTCCTTCCTTCCACATAATAGCAAGACCTCCACTACGACCAATGCAGTCAACAGAGAGTAGACCTGTAAAGCCCAGTTTACACTTAATGGGCTGTAACTTAGTAGTGCCTAGAAAAGTTTCAATAAGAAACACAACATTGGGCTTCTTAGCATGGACCAAGTCCAATAACACCTGAACTGTCTCTGGGTTCCCAAGCCCACGACAGTTCCAAGATAGCAAACTCATTGCTCTGGGCGGGCCTGATTCACAGGACCCGCCCCATATCCGTTTTTTTGCACCACTTCCACATTAGACAAATCCATAGGGTCAACAGTGGGCTTCACCCTTGGGCCGTCCACCTCCACTCTACGTCTTTTCTGATCCATTATAATAAGTCCAATCTCCTCAAAAGAGGGCTCATGGCCCACTGGCATACTCAACAAACCCTCAGCCGCATTTCTGGCCATATCCGACAAAGGAGGAGACAAGTGTAGTTCACTGGCAAACCTCGTACAGCTGTTGTCCTTTTCCCCACGACTCGTACCAGGGATCGTACCCCCACTCGCTGCTGATCCCGAAACAGACGGATTGGCACAGGTGACCGAGGAGTTCTGTCCAGACTTTGAGAATCATCTACCAGCCAGCGACTTCCCGTCGACGGAGGAGGCCGGCGACCCGCCGCTCTTAGCCAAGGACCAAAAGGTTTTTCGTCTTTCAAACTTACACCCTCGAACAGCTTTGGGCAAAATTTCTCCATATGCTGAATGAGACCACAGATGAAACAGAAATTCGGTAAACATTCATAACGAAAAGAAATCCAAGACCAATCCCCACCATTGCGTTTGATACGCATCTTGCTCAGTAGAGGTTTCTGAACATTCACTGTGACCCGAATGCGGAGAAACGATCTCCACCAACCATCGATTTTACTCGCATCATTGCACACAAACTTCCCAATCAAATTACCAATGGACATAGCCGTTTTCTCAGAGTAAAAGCCCAGTGGAAGGTCGTGGACCTGAATCCAGAAATCCACTGAATCCAGAGGCATAGTCAGAGGAGGAATATACGGCTGTAGTCTCGCAAGAACAAGAAGGCATTGATCATAAGCCCAAGGACCATCATCCATAATGCGCTGGACGTCAACTTCATGGAAGAACTGGAACAAGAAAGTATTATGAGAGAGCTCCTTAATCACCATACCTCTGCCCGGGCGCCATACAGAAGCTAGAGTATCCCTCATGAAGGCAAACTTGACCGTTTTATCTGTCATGAGTCTGCCAACCAGAGTAAAGCGGTTATCAACATTCTGCTCGAGGATAAGACCTTCATCACCATCTTCATTAATCTCGAGAGCAGCGTAGGCCATCTCCAGAGTATCATCATCGACTTGCTGGACCTCCGGCTGGAACTTGGTTGGAGGAGGCACAGGGGGTGGTTCCGAACTTGAAGGGGTATCCATTGTCACAGGGGAGAAACAAAGAAGACGCAAGGAAAAACACCAGCGAGGAGCTCCAAGAAATGAGAGGAAGACTTGTTACAGGGAACAAGGAGGAGAGGCTAACCATAGAGAGGCTAGGAAATGAGACGGGATTTGAAATGGACACTATGGTGGCTGCTAAGCATTACAATTTCTAAAAATCATGATTTGCGGGCTTGGGTGGGAAGTTGAAGACTCAGATGCGCAGTTAATCGTCCGACTAAATTCAGACACTTGAGGAGACAATTAGCGTAGTAATCATATATATCCTGTTTTCCAAAAAAAAAAAAAAACAAAAATCATATATATCCTGTAAACTAGAAAGGTTACTTGAGGCGACCCTGTTTTCCAAAAAAAAAAAAAAAACAAAAAAAAAAAAAACAAAAATCATATATATCCTGTAAAATGGAAAATTTACTTGAGGCGACCAAATCACCATCCTTAGGCAATAGTCATCACGCTTCATCAGCAAAATGCACCAACTGGGAATCAAACCCGGGTCTATACCGTGGCAGGGTACTATTCTACCACTAAACCACTGGTGCCTCTTGTTCAATGTTATTTTATTCATTTTATTTAGAGAAAACTTTTAAATTCAGTTTAGGCAAAAACAAACCTCTAGGCTCTATCTATATATCATTTATTTTTATTACTCCGTATGTTATTATAGAATAATATAATAATATAATAATAGAGAAATTTGGAAGAGATAGAACAACAAAAGAAGAATATATACTAAATTATATAACAATCAATAATAGTAGTATTAAAACAAAAATAAATTTTATGTTGGTATAATACATTGCACCAATGATTTATACCTTATACTTTCTTTATTGTATTTTTATAAAAATAATTTTTTTTATTGTCTTACCAAATTGGTTATAGTTATTAACAAACTCTAAGAACATGTCTTTCCTTACTTGTTGATAATCAAATTAAACTTTGATCTTCAACTATTTCACTTGCTAATAAACAATCTCAAATAAGCTCTTAAGATTTAATTTATTAACAACTACATTGAGAATCATAAAGACTACCAATTCTAACTAACAAAATCGCAACCCCAGTTCATTGAATTGAACAATTTAGATTGACACATGCGAATGGTATAATAACAACAACAACTCAGTAAAGGACTAACAATCCAAAATTATTAAATGAATTAAATTTATTAAATGAGACTAATTACTTAATCATTAAAACAAATTATATTTTGAACCATTACATTAGTACAAAATATAAATAAGTGCAAAATAAATACAATGTTAAATAAAAAATAATGTTAATTTATTATAATAATATACTTAAATTAAATATATAAATAGTGTTTATCAATACTCTCCTTTTTGCCATACAATTTCAAAGGATGATTTTCTTGCAATGTAGTTCATTGGGGATTTTTTTGAGGGTTTTGTTATCTCGACAGATTCTTTTGATGCTTCATACTCCACAATATGATGCAGAGTTTTAGTGAACAACATCTCATGGTTTTCAATTGGCTTAACATTGTACTCATTACATTCTTTCGTTCTGAAATTAAAAAAAGTGAGGGAATAAAAACTGGATTATATGATATCTTCAAGCATGGAATCACTTTCTTATAAGTCTTTAATCTCCCTTACTAACCAACATGAAAAATTCAATTAAAACTTATGAGATACAAGAAGATATACAAAATTCTCAAGTTGATATACCAAGAATGTGCTTTTAAGTTGCATAACTAGAGAATTCTTTCTAAAGATATATTTCCAAGTGTTTACAGCATATAACACAGAAAAATATGGTACTGATGAAGTTAACCCTTCATCTATCAGACTACTATAGTTATATCTCAGATTTTATCCATCTCTAACCATTATCATTGTCAAGAAAGTTGAAAACATCAACCCTAATAATTACGAGATATGACCTAAGGAGCCAAATTATAATGATTATAAAATAAACATAGGCTCTGATGCCAAATTGATATGACCCTTCTTCAAGAATGGATGTTGGTAGGATATATCCCGACCGACCTAAGATGTTCTCCGTGTCATTCGGTACAGCTCCTTTGCCCGAGCGCTGCAGCGGGAAGACGGTCGGTAACGGTCGTCCATTTAACCTTGTGCTGACCTTCTGCTTGAAGGCATTCGAGCCCGACCGGCTGATTCACCTCCCGACCGGTGTTCTGCTCGACCGCCGTACCTTTGCCCCACATGGAAGCAGTATCGCTGGAGAGGGGCATGTGGCAGCGCCAAGCGTCGACAGAGGGTGGCCATCAGGTTTTGGCACGTGGATGCCGCGTGGAGTACATGCCGATAAGCCGGACGCTGTCCCCAGCGATGGGCTATAAATATCCACGGCGGACAAGGTGAAAGGGACTTTCGGGAGGATCAAGAGGCTACTTACAGAGCTTCCCGATTGCAGACAGTCGGCCTTCGGAGCAGTTATTTAGATTGTACTTGGTCACCCGTGTATTTACACTATCATTTTGGCGCCGTCTGTGGGGATTGGTACAATTAGTCACGAACGACGAAGTGCCTATGTCCCAAAACATGTATCCATACATCCAGGATATACAGGAAGACGCGGTCAGTTCTTTCGACCATCACACCAGTATGGTCCAACCGTCGACTTGAACCTCAACCTTTCACCCCCTCACCGGTGGCTCCTAACCCGGTCAATTATGTCCAACTAATGTATCCGCCACCTGGTCAGCAATTCCCGTACCCGGGATATTTCACACATCCAGCACCACGCGCCCAAAATGGTTACTGGCCCGGGACCCAAATGTACTATCCGCCGAGTAACTATCAACCTTATAGGCCTGCGTACACGGCTCCAGCTTCTGTCCCCCCGAACCAACCAGCAATGCAGACCGAGTCCGAGCTTCAGCTCGGTCCCCGGACTAGGCGCTCGGCTCGCTCAAGGTTGGGATCGCAGGGGGCGGGGGGCCCGGAGGAACCATGACAGGAAACTAATGTCCAGGCAGTAGATGAGCCTGAGCCACAAGACAATCGCGCGAGCGCGTTTGAGCGTCTTCGGCCAGCATGCGTCAACGATTGGGACCACAAGACCCGGATAGGCGATCGGTTGACTCACCTATGCACGCGGCCAGTCAAGCGGAATCATCAGGAAACAATGGACCCCACGTACACCGTCGCCGTCGAGCCCGTGAACAAACCCGGACGGCCGAACAAGATGATACCCGGGGAATGGTGAACGAGCTACGCGCAGAATTCACTCGGTGGCAGCATGAGCATGCTTCAGGGCCTTCGGTTCACACCGCTTCATTATTGCGGACCCCTTTCACAGCCGAGATTATGGCTCAGCCGTATCCGATCGACCTGCGCATTCCCGATAATAAGGAGTACGATGGACGAACAGACCCGGAGGTCCACATCAATACCTATTACGGGAACATGCTAATGATGGGTGTGAGTGACGCTGTGATGTGTCGAGCTTTCTACTCGACGTTATCCGGACGAGCAGCTGAGTGGTTTAGAACGTTGGACCCAGGATCTATTCCTTGTTTGGTGACTAAGTTTACCCAAAAGTTTGTAACCTCGAAAACATCTGGAAGCCTTACATGTACTTGGAGAAGGCTAAGCAGTTTGAGGGGGATACTTTGACCGACTTTTTGGTTAAATGGAAAGCGGCCGTAGGTGAGGTCGAGCCCATGGATGACCTGACGGCGATCCATATGTTGCACATTTCCTTGAGATCCAGATATTTATATCAAGACTTTATACTTCATCTGCTGGCGACGTATGAAGAAACACTTCGCCGAGTGACAGACTACGTCAATGCCGGAGAGGCCAACGCTATCAAACGGTGTCAGGAAGTCGGTTCATCCCGGAAGCCACCCGGACGATCGGATAATCAGTCGACAGGGCACCACCGATCCCGAACTCGCCCGCAGGACTTCACGGCTTTGAACCGCTCGGCCGCGGAAACCCTGCAGTATGCACAATCATGTAATCTCATTCGGTTACCACGTCCTGGACAGGAAGGGAAGGACAAGTCAAAGCATTGCGCTTATCACCGATGCAGTGGGCATGATACTGAAGAGTGTACAACTTTGAGACAGTTGTTAGAAGACCTGCTTCAAGCCGGTAAGCTGGACAAGTGCGTGGGAAAAAGAGAAGAGAGCAAGAGACCAACCAGGAAAAGAGACCATCGGCGTTCCGATCGGTCTGAACGGTCGGACCATGACCAGAGAGATCCCGATCCCAAGTCTGAGAGTCACCAAACGTCTAAGCCGACCATCCACGTTATATTTGGGAGTTTGGAAGATGCATCTCAAGCCTGAGAGCCTTTCCCGGTCGCGGTTGTGGAATCTCGCGAGATCAGTAAGCGGCAAAAGATGTAACCAATCACCTTTGCATTGGAGGATCAGCCCGAAGGCCGGGGATACGGGGATGGAGGCTTTGGTAGTGACGATTGATATCATGGGAGTGGGTGTACATAGGGTGATGGTTGATACTGGGAGCAGCGTGAACGTCCTTTACCTGGACGTTTTTGAGAAGTTAAAGCTCAATCACCGAGAGTTGACTCCGGTCGGAGCGCCTTTGTCTGGATTTACCGGGGACACTATCCACCCGGAAGGAAAAATTATCCTCCCGGTTGAATTGGGAACTCCTCCAAAGTCGGTTAAGACGCAGATGGAGTTTGTCGTGGTCAACCTTCGTTGCGTCCATAATGCCATCCTGGGCCGCCCGGCAATCATAAGGGTCAGGGGAATTATATCCATGCCCCATCTCTGTATGGAGTTTCCCACCTCGGCCGGGGTCGGAGTGTTGCGCGATGATGCCCAATCAGCCAGAAAGTGTTATTCCCGAGCAGTCAACCAGCGAGATGTAGGCTCCTCAGGAGTTAATACCATCACCAAAGATGCCGGGAAAGACAGAAAGGAGCAGCCCGAGCCCTCTGCGGAAATAGAAGAAGTCCCATTGTCAGAGGATCGACCTGAACGGAAGGTCAAGATCAGTCGAGCCTTGACCCCCGAGCTTCGATTAGAGGTCTTGGTCATCCTTCGGGAATTCGCCGATATATTCGCGTGGGGTCCGGAGGACATACCCGGGATTGACCGCACTGTGATATGCCATCGATTGGCCGTGGGCCCTGCCGCGAAGCCGATTAAGCAAAAGACCAGACACTTGTCCTCGGACCGCAGGGAGTTCGTACGGGAGGAAGTAAAAAAGATGGCTGCAATCGGGCACATCCGCCCGGTCACCTATCCCGAATGGGTGGCCAACATAGTACTGGTTCCCAAGCCACCATCTTGGAGGATGTGCATCCATTTCACTGACTTGAACAAAGCGTGTCCTTTGGACCCCTATCCATTACCGAGGATTCATCAGATGGTGGATGAAACGGCCGAGGCGGAATTGATGAGCTTTATGGATGCCTTTAAGGGCTACCATCAGATCATGATGAGTCATGAGGATGAGAGTAAGACGTCGTTCGTCACTCCCGATGGCTTGTATTCTTATCGGGCTATGCCGTTCGGTCAGCGAAACGCAGGGGCCACGTATCAACGAATGATCAACATGCTGTTCGAAGACCTGTTGGGCCGAACCATGGAGGCATACATTGATGACATGCTTGTTAAGAGCCGAGACCGAGCGGACTATACTCGGGATCTCCGACAATGCTTTCAGATCATGCGGACGTATCAGTTACGTCTGAACCCTACTAAGTGTACATTTGTAGTTCAAACGGGAAAGTTTTGGGGCTATATGATGACAAAACGAGGGATTGAGCCCAATCCGGCAAAAGTAAAAGCGATCCTTGACATGCAGCCGCCCACGACCGTCCGAGAAGTACAACAGTTGACCGGCAGGTTAGCAGCTTTGAGCAGATTCCTCTCTAAACTAGCGGAACGGTCTCTGCCTTTTTTTAAGGTGTTGCGTAAGGTCAATGGATTTACTTGGGACGATGAGTGCCGATCGGCCTTCACGGACTTGAAAAATTACTTGATGTCCCCGATCGTGTTATCCAAACCAGAGCCAGGGGAAGAATTGGATGTTTACTTGGGCGTGTCTGATCGGGCGGTCAGCGCCGTATTATGCCGAACAGATCAAGAGGGCACTCAACGACCCGTGTACTATGTGAGTCATGCGCTGCATGGTCCGGGACTCCGATATTCCCGGTTGGAGAAGGTCGTTTATGCTCTGTACACAGCTGCCAAGAAGTTGGCCCCTTATTTCTAGGGACAGGTCATCCGTGTCTTGATTGACCAGCCAATCGGAGCTGTCCTTCGCACCGCCTCTTCCTCCGGACGCCTAGTGAAATGGGCGTTGATACTGACCCAGTTCGCCATGGAGTACCGATCTCGCCCAGCCATTAAGGGTCAAGCCTTGGCAGATTTCCTCGTGGAATGCACCGCTCGGGATACTCAACCTCAAAATTTGGAAGACCTCGAAGCGGCCTGGTGGACGTTGGCCACTGATGGATCGAGCAGCAAGAAAGGAGCGGGCGGAGGGGTAGTAGTTACAAGCCCGGAAGGCTTCAAAGTTTATTACGCCCTGATGTACCAGTTCAGCCCCACCAATAATGAGGCAGAATATGAAGCGTTCATCAATGGATTACAATGTGCTCGGGACCTGGGGGCTGACTACATCCGAGCGCAAACAGATTCCGCCCTGGTGGTCGGACAAGTACTCGGGGAGTATGAGGTTAACGGTGAGCGACTTCAATCTTATCGGGATCTTGCAATGGAAAAACTTAACCTATTCCGGGCGTATGCTGTTCGGCATGTTCCCCGCTTGGACAACGCTGATGCAGATATCTTGTCTAAGTTGGCACAAGATGCCCCCGAGCACATGTCCAAGATTGATCGAATCTTAATGATTCCGAGGCATAGCATTCCTCGGCTGCCGGTCGTCCCTGTTCAACCGGTCGAAGAGACTTGGATTACAGATTTGATGGAATATTTGCAGCATGCCCGTCTGCCGGACGACCCACAGTGCGCTCGAAAAGCCAAACTACGGGCGCCAAGGTTCCAGGTGTAGGAAGGCCGTTTATACCAGCGATCGTATGGCGGCCCCTTGATGCGGTGCCTCAATTCCTTCGAAGCAGAGTTGGTTATGAACGAGCTACATTCTGGTCTCTGTTCATCGCATCAAGGTGGGTGGTCGCTTGCTCGTCGCATAATGGTGATCGGATATTATTGGCCTTCTATACAATTAGACTGTGAGAAGCTCGCTAAAGGCTGTGAGACATGCCAGCTCTATGCCCGGATGCCCGGTCGTTTTACAACATTCTATCAGCCGGTCACAACAGCAATTCCATTCGCTTGATAGGGGGTGGATATATTAGGGCCCTTCCCACAGCTATCTAGGCATCGGTGTTTTGTCATCGTCGCTATAGATTACATCTCCAAATGGATCGAGGTCGAGCCCTTGGCCACGATCACTTCCCAACAGTGCGCTCGTTTCTTATGGTGAAATGTCATTTCTCGATTCGGCGTCCCTGTTCAACTGATAAGTGACAATGGTCGAAAATTTGTGGGTCGGTATTTCCAAAACTTCCTGGCGACGATCGGGACGACCTCAATCCGATCATCGCTAGCCTACCCTCAGGGGAATGGTCAAGTAGAAAATGGCAACCGTACCATCCTAGAGGAACTAAAGAAAAAGTTACATTCAGCCGGTCGTAGCTGGGCTGAGGAACTCCCATTTGTACTTTGGACATATCGCACAACTCCCAGAGAGGCAACAAGAGAAACTCCTTTTGCACTGGTTTATGGCGCTGAGGCCCGGTTGCCAATTGAAGCTTGGATCCCGACGGCCAGGGAGCGGTCCTACGATGCAATAGAGAACGAACATTCTCTAGTCGTGGACCTAGATAGCGTGGAAGAAAAAAGGGAGCTCGCTGCCAGACGCATGGCTGAGTACCAACAGAGAGTGAAAGGCACCAAGGATGTCCGGGTCCAGCCGCGCTATTTTCAAGTCGGGGATTACGTGCTACGACGACGGGAAGCAAGTCAACCCCTTGAAGGAGGCAAGCTGGCCCAAAATTGGGAGGGACCGTATGTGATCACAACGATCGTTCGCCCGGGCACCTACCGTCTTGAAACAACCACTGGGAGGTCGATCGACGGAACGTGGAACTCGGAAAATTTAGTGTTGTTCCGCCATTAATTTTGATGTTTTTTATTCAAACGGGGTGGGGGCTTAACCTGCGAGTGGGCACGCCCGTCTTTTACCCATGTACAAGTGAGTGTTTAAGTGTTCAACCGTCTGCGTACGGGACTTAGCTGTGTACACAATCGATCGTTGAGTGCTTGCTCTTCTGCGCACGAGGGCGCGGTCGATTACCATGATATGTAAATAGTACGTAGGCTATTAAATCGATTCCAGAGTTTGATCTCGAGCGTGATTCAACCTGTAACACCCCAAATTTTTGAAACTTTTAAAACTTATATAATAAAGGTAATTTCTGATTAAATCCCAAAACAGAGTATTGCTAAACATAAGTGTTCGGGGTGCTATGCCACATCTGAGCTGGAGAACTCAGATGCACAGGCTATACTAACTAAATATCCTCAAAGCAATGTCAATACATCATCATGGCACGCAGGCCGAAAGAAAACTAACTATCTATGAGTCGGATCTCTAGCGCGCTCCGGAGTCTACTCATCTGTGCCTGAAAGCCAAATATATCTGTTCAGCGAATAATGCTGGTAACCCACTCTAACGTGTTAAAATACATTATAGGTAAATATATATATACATAGATATAGGAAAATCATTTGAAGCAGGAGGATATATTCTTAGGAGACTCTAGCTTTAAAATTAGGAATAAACTCGACAGATAGGGATAAGCACATTCAACAATGATAATCAACTATATAGAGACAACATCATATTCGTATATGCATCTAAGGTCACAGTTTACTTTTACGTCATTCACATCATCATTCAATCCATATCTTTGTCACACAAGCATACTTTGGTGGCGCCACGGGACCAATCGCATGCCCCAAACATGAGGGTTAGCGCATATAGCGCTAACACGGCCCCGCAACACCCTACCTCATACCGCAGCATGAAGGAATTGACCGCAACCAATTGTATAGACCGTCGATGGATTCAACGGCGGATCACAGCCCTACACACCGCTGACGCGCTCAGTCGGTGGACTGTGATCCTCTTTTGGGGACTGCGACCCTACACACCGCTTGACGAGCTCAGTCGGTGGGTCGTAACTGATCAAAGCCCTACACACCGCCCGAGGGACTCATTCGGTGGGCAATGATCTTTGGGAACTATGACCCTACACACCGCTAGCACATACACTCGATGG